TAACGTGCGTGTGTCCAGCTGGTCTTCCCTCACTTCGACCTTTGCCCTGATTTCTAGTTGCCTTCAGTGCACAAGTTTTGATCGACGATCTCTCTGCCGTTGTTCATCCCGACTCGGGATTTATACGGGCTGTTCCTGATTGGTGGAATGGGGTAACCGGAGAGATCGCCACCTTGTATGAGAGGCTAAACGATCTCCGTGTCAGACTGCTCGTGAGTGCTCGGCGCATCATGAACTTGCATAGCCACTTACTCAACGACGACACTATAGATCAGGAATTCAGCAAGTAGGAAGCTGCTGATTCCAAACGACTTCAAATCCGAGTTCCCCGAGTTGTCTACGAACAAAGGTAGTTCGAATCCGCTCGGTTCCAAAGCCACAAACTTATCTCTGGTTCTCAGGGCCTGGCACATCCCTTCAAAGTGGGCCACCAGCGGCGTTGTCACCTTCGCTGTCATCTTCCCTGCCCCAACCCCACGATGCTCAGAAAGGGATTATTGGCATCTCCAACTTGAATATGGCTCATAAGTCCGAATCTTTCGCCTCATCTGTTCATGTACAAAGCGGGGGTGGTATGCCAGCAGACACCCTCCAACCCCACACTTGCACCTCACTTGATTGCCTGCCCACGCAACGCCATCTCAACTCATCCGACCAGGACCTGAAGAGGCTTCTGTCTCTTCTCCACGATCATCCGCTCGTCCAAGTGGAAGACGCCAGCAGGCGCCGAAGAAGTGAACTCATGCGCCGTTTGGGCAGGCAGCCTCATGGGTCTCGCCGTACCCACTCTCTTGGTAGCGACATCGGGTACTCAAAGCTCCGTCCCAAACACGGTTCACGCATCACCAAGAAGACAATCTCTCGCATTGTGCGACGTGTGTATGGTGTTGATCGAGGTCTTGACAGGGCGAGCAGCGACTCGGACCCGGACCCGGAGTCGTTAGGGCGCCACGATGAGGATGACGAGTACTATACGCACGAGTTCGCCGAGGTCTAAGAGTACTGCCTCGTTGTTGTAGCACCCAGTATGGCATATTCGGTGTTTGTTGTCCACTCCTCCTGTCGCCGCCCTTGCTTACTACGAACTTTCTTGTCATCTTAACTTCTCATCACTCCGAGTTTTACGTCATGTACGTCAAGAATGCAACTTATCGCTATGATCTCTTTCTCACTCTCTATGCTCTCTTGCTCAAGCTTGCTTTGATCAAATTCATGTACATGACTAGATTCTTCCATCTGACCCGTCTTTGTACCACGGAGGTATTGATGATCTTGTCTTGCATATGATACGTATGCCTGGGGGCGGCGTGCACTCGGCGCGTTCCAGAATAGGTTCGAGGCCCAGGAAACTTCGTCGATGAGGACTACGAATAAGTCCGTTCTTGCAAGCAGTGTGAACCGCACCGTTACAGCCGTACAGAGACACACGCCGAAACGACAGGTGGAGCTCACGCGATGCCTCTTGCGTTGTTCGCGTATCCCAGCGCACCCTCGAATTCTGACCTTGCCTCAAGGATGGCGCATGGTGATCGCGATACACATAGATGAGGCTCCTATGAAGGTCGAGTCCTCCCTGCCTGGGCGAACCCACATGCACGCATACATGCCGGCTCGCTCATGAGCAGTGCAGCATGAGAATGCTTATGCCGCACGCTGACGGGCTGCACCGTTGGTGGTGCTCGCGTCTTTGCATGCGCCCACCTAGATGGAGAAGAGGCTGTCCAAAAACATTGCTTATGAGAATCGGTCAACTTCCACGACGCAGATATAGGGAAACGCGCAACGGGTGCGCGCCATTGCCGTGTGCGACATTCATCGAGGGGGCCGCAGTAAAACACGCCACCACGCAGCGGCGACATGTGCAAACCGGAGGAGTTGTCATCAACTGTTATAAATCATCTCTAACATGTTGATAACGCCGATGTGAATATATGTCAAAAAGCGCGGTGAGAAACACTTCTCGGAGGGGCCCGAGTTATCAACTGCGCGCTAATAACCCGATGAATTCTTCACGGTACCCTCAACCGGTAAAGATGTATGCCGTCCTCTTCAAATCTTTCCTTCGCCCGCGTGTTCTGGCTTACATCGAGTGAAGGTTATAAACCTCGTCCCGAAGGCGTACAAACCGTTTGCAAGGCAGTACCTCACTTGCAAGGAAGACGCGGACAGACCCTGCAATGCTATCCTGCTCAGCGTGGGTGCACACGTGTGCTTTGACCGATATCATTTTGGCGTTTGGGTAAGTTCATCCGCCAACTTGAATTCGGTACCAGACATACTATCACATCACGGTAGGTCCCCAGTAGTGGCAAGAGAAATATATATACATTTGAGAAGGACCCCTTGAGCGCCATGCGCAATCTACAGAAGGAACCAGTCGAGGCAGATGCACCTCGGCCCCGCAAGAGAGCGAGAAGGAGCAGTACCACTGCCGGTGTCGGCCAGGTGGAATCCATCGATCCGCAAGCGTTTCAGCTACATTTTATGCTCGTCCTTATGTGGCGCTTTGTGGAAGGCGGCTTCGACAAAGTCTAGCCAGAATACCGTGACAGCGCTGGGCAGGCCATGTACGATATAGCTCGAGTGTGACTGCATGTGCTTGTGCTTGTGAGATTGTATCATTTAAGTCGGTATGCAAGCCACGTTCCCTGTAAAGCGAAAACGGTCTAATGAGGTTGTTGATCCGTGCCTGTCCGTACGTGTAGAGCGCGTCGGTGTTATCAAGAGCCACGACAACATATGATATCACATATCGAGGCTGGCGAATATATGAAACAAAATATCACCGTTCAGCCAGCCTCGCGTCTTCCGAACGACTTTGGTCGGAATACCCACCAAGTTTACTTACTGCTTCGGCTTTCGGGTTCGGGAGGATGTTCGTCGGTTGGAAACGGGCGACTGCTTGCCGAGAGCAGGTTTGTACTGGTTAATTTAGAGGCGAAGGATACGTATGATATCAATACATGCGATGAGGTGCGGGAAGTTCCAGATGCATAAGTAAGAAGACGACGAGACGAGCGGGGCTGGTGGATAGCGAGCGCGAGTGATGAGTACTGTACACATAACGCGTGAGTTGAACGGGCGGCGTGAGAGGTCGTGGATGGAGGTGTCAATGCTGCGATGGACGAGAAGAGGCTGCGGCGGGGGAGGAGAGGGCTGCGCAATCAGCTTCATCAAAGCTAGAGCCACGGACCAGCGTACCTTGCGCATGCGGAAGCGGAGGACCTACCGCAGTCGGGGCGACGACGCTCAGTCGGTTGCGCAGCCCAGCCAACGGCAGAGAGGCGCGACTATAGGCTGCCTACAAGCCTGCAGAAACCGGGGGGGGGGGGGGTGATGGGCGCACGGAGAACAAGACAAGGCGGGGCGAGATGAGGGACGAGGACGGGGTCAGACAGGGGCCCGAGCACGATTGGGTCTGATACGGACGTACGCGGGCGACAGCCATTCGGGCGGGCCTGTGATCTGGATCGCGGCGACGGTCGACGCGATGGTCACCGCGGCGCCGACGACGGCGTACAGGACGGAGCGCTCTTTCGACGAGGGCTCCTCGAATGTGGGCTCTTCGTATACTGAGTCGAACGCGCGCATGGTGGATGTATGGGGGTCGGGGAACGGATGATGTCGTTCGCTGTCGTTCGCTGGATTCCGCGTCGATCGGAGAGGGCTTGGGAGTCGGCGGTTGTGCGTGGAGAGTGGCTCGGGCACGGCGGGAGATGTGTAGGAGGTAGACGGGTGAGAGAGCAGGATGCAGAGCGACGATGGGGATTATATAGACGCAGAATGCCGGAATGGAGACAAGAGAGTTGCGTCAAAGATCGGGATTAGTCTCTTCTTAGCGCCCACGCTGCAAGTTAGCAGGCACACAAAAAAGGATGGCTTGTGATTTTCGGATCATTGCCGCCCAGCGGAGACAAGACGCGGGATCCTAGATTCCTCTCCGAGGCATAGTCTTACAGCAGGATCGCTGCGTGTACTCGACATGTGGCCATACGCATACAATATTCTGGGGGACGGGTGGTCAGCAGGCAGTGACATCGGTCCGCGCGCGATGTCCTCGGCGCGGTCGCCCTCGCCGAACACTGCACGGCGGGGCTGTGCGAGATGGGGGATGAGCGATGGTATCAGCATAATGATATCATAATTCAGTATGGCATCTCCGACCAGCCAGCGGATCGGACCGCGGATTAGCAGATGTGTACGCCGAGGTGGACGGACACGAAGAATTGAATGGACGCGTCTGCGATTTACGCTCTCACCTCTGCACAGCATCTCGGCGTCGTTTCATACGTCTAGACACCTGCCGAATATGCACACAGCATTTGCGCCCGAGCGCAACACCCGAGCGAAGCCAACGACAGGAATCGTGTCGCCCTTGCGAAGCGTCGACGTCTCTCGGCTACAAGTCCTCGAGGCGGTATACATCGTACGCGACTTCTTCATATGGATGGACCTACCAGCAGCGTTATTATGCCCGACCGCGAGCGTCCCGGTGGCTCCGGCAGTACGCACCTTCTTGAGCTCCCGCAAGACGCTCTCCATTTCCACGCCGGCATCGGAGACGAGGGAAGCGCCAGCGCCGACTACCAACACTTCAACTCGGTCCTCCTCGACCTGTTCAGGTTTGCCCACCGCGCCAATCGCTGGATTCGCGCCTTCGAGGGGTACAAATTGCCCTAAGAAGCGCACAGATTTGAGCACGGCTCGGCGTGGATGCAAGGCAGTTCTAGTATGGTGTCTGCACTGCAACGAAAGACCTACCGGTGCCCGGAGATACAAATGCACAACCCCCATAAGCGCCAATACGTCCAACGTGATTGGGGAAATGCGCGAAGAGGTGCTTCAATATTATTTGGGTGGATGTTCGTGGGGTGAAGAACACAAGCTTGTACTTTGGCATGATGGGCCGATACCAAACGGGATCGGGCGTCGACATATCAAGCATGTAGTCGGATTGATCCTCTATATTTATAGAATATTATACACACGTACTACGATATGGTGCTATAGTGTAGTGGTTATCACTCGGGATTTTGAGAAATATTTCCCGGAACCCAGGTTCGAACCCTGGTAGCACCTGCGCTTCTTTTGCCACTTAGAAGCCCAGTATTCCAGAAAACTCGTCCAAGAACCTTTTTGGGACTGGACATGAAATGATATCCCGCGAGATCCGTTACCCGCCATCGCCATGTTAACTTGAAAGTTCAGCTTATGCGCTTGCAACATCGCATATGTATATTGCAATCATTCACAGCTGCTTCCAGTGCTACGCCCTGGTCGGCGGTCCTACAGGTACCAACTCCGATATACCACCATTACCCTGTCTACGGATCCGTCGTCTTCAGAGAGTATGATTCAAGTTACGCTAATTAACGACAGCTAGTACATTCTACGTGAAGAAGTGCGGGCGTCTCACTATCCTCAGAAAGTTGTGAGTCAAGACTTTGAAGATCGGAATCCGCTGGCGAACTACCCGGTTCACCCTTGCCGGTACAAATGTCTTCTCTTGTTCATTGGCACTCCCCCCGAGTTCCACCATGGCACAGAAAACGGTATCAGTGCCTCCGCCCTAGTGTTACCACCAGAGAGCGGCCAGTAGACACGCGGGAAGATTGTAGTCCTCAAGCATTGCCCGAAGCCCAAGGTGCCCATGTTCCTAAAGGAGGGGTCATCCCAAAACGCCACTGATGTCGTGCTGCAGGATCTGCGTCGAGATCCCGCGCTGCGGGCACTCCGTCTCACCACCAGGCTGATGGGTTTATACTCCAATGTACTCCAATGTAATCCTGTCGCTTTTGCCGTGGCACGCTCCAGTCTTTGAACGTTTTCATCGAGCGCAATGTGACGCCAAACACGTTACAGCGCGAGAAAAGACGTGCATCGCCCGGCTGTTCGGCGGTGCCTTTGCCCTCTCATACACTGACCCCCCCACGCGGACATCCAGCAGATGCGACCCGCCGCCGTTCAGCCGAGTGAACGTCAGCTGCACGTTCCGCTGTGAGTCCCCGAAGACACGACTTCCGTGTGTCCAAGAGCTGATCGCGTCAGGTCCGCAGGTGCGGTCGCATATCCCAGACCGTCCGCGCCTCAGAGCAGGGCCCAAAGTGCTTGGATGCAGGTCGCCTGAAGGTGCGGGGGGTGAACGCGTCCGAGACCGCGGAAGAGGAGCGATCCCCTCCCCTATGAACGTCGCCGTAGCCCAGGGGACCTTGCTGCATAACCCGACGTGAATCCTGAGCGCCTCCAATGTCCGCTCGTGCGTGAACGTGAACGTCGCGAGGGACGCCTTGCTCGCGATCTTGCGTGTCGGGAGCTCCGCAGCGGGCCTGAAGCCCGCCTTCTCGAGCTCGACGGCAAGCCAGCGGGGGAAGTGGAACCGGAACGCCGCCTCCGCGCGGTCCTTTGCCGGGGGCGAGAGCGAGGGCGGGCGGTGCGAGATGTACAGACGCTGCCAGCGCGCGGCGATGCCGCAGGTGCTGAACGAGAGCGCGTGGCGCGCCCAGTCGACTTGGGCGAGGCGGTAGCGCAGGCGCATCCACGAATGCCACCCGCGCACGGTGGTGCCGACGTAGTACCGCGGCCACTGGAGGCCGATGCCGTTGTCGACTCGCCGGCGCAGGAGCAGGCCGACGAACGAGTCGTTCGCGGTGTCCTTGCATGCTAGGACGGCGATGGCGAGCGTGGTCCGTCCGGCAGAGCTCTCGACGATGAGCAGGCGGGCGCGCACGCCGTGGCTCGTCGCCGTAAAGTCCGGAAGCGGGATCTTCCACGTCTTCTCCCGGCTCCGTGCAGGCGCGGGGGTGGACTGTTTGTCCCGGCGGGGGTTCATCAGCGCGCGTCTCACGGGCGAAGAAGATGTGTCTGCCTGACCAGGGTAGTTTCCAACGCCCATCTGGGGACGCCCAGTGACTTCACCGCGTTCTCCATGGCGACTGTCATCGGCACGGGCACCATGTTACTGGAGTTGACGAAGGCCGCGGGCGAGGGCGCGAAGATGTGGCTGTCGTGATGATAGTTGCTGTGCGACGTGTGTTCCCTGAAGGGCGCGGTGCGGATGGGCAGGACGTTCCCCCACGCGAAGAGGGTCTGGTCCGACGTGCGCTTGAGGATCTCCTCCTGCAGACGGAGGAACGCGCGCTGGCCCTCGCCGTAGATGGTCGCCATGTGGACCCCAAAGATGCCCATGAGGCAGTACGCCTCGTCCTCGAGCCGCGTCGTCGTCCGCGTCGACGCCCACGACATCCGCCGCGCAACGCTCACGTCGCCCAGCGCCCGCCGGAACGTCAGCACGTCCGCGTCGATCCCCGTGATCTCCTGGAGAAGCGGCGCGAGGCTGCCTTTCGTGCCGATCGCCGTCCAGTCGCTCGCGACGAACAGCAGGCTCCGCGGTGCAATGAGCTCCTGGAGCGTCCACCCGCGAGTGAACCACCTGCTCGTCCTGAACGCGGAGCCGCGGCGTGCGGCGTCGGTGCGCGCGGGCAGCGGGGGCACGTCGAACAAGTATGCATAGCACACCTGCGCGCGCGCGTACCAGTCGAACATGGAGTTGATCGCCTCGGAGAGCTCGGCGCTGCTCGCGCGGTCGATGCAGCAGGTGTCGATCCAGAGCCAGTCGTAGCCGTGCGACTCTGCGAGCACGCAGCACTCCCTGATCTTCGCGGACAGGCGGGGGCGCAGACCCGGATCCGGGTAGTCCGTCGACGCGAGCTGTGTGCGTAGGGCTTGCAGCTCCTGGAAGGACTGCTCGTCGTCTTGCCAGACGTGCGAGAGGATGGCGTAGCCGCCTTTGACATCGTTCGGTCCGTTGAAGTGCTGGAGCTCTCCTGTGTTGGTGTGAAGTAACCACATCGGTTGTGCTGAGTTGAACCGGTCAGACGCGAACTCATCAGCGGTCATATCTTTGATAGCATCTCCAAGGGTACTCACATGGAGAACAGGACCCCGGAGAGGTACCGCTTGCAAGCACAACGTGTGTCACCGCTCCCAAAGGCCACACGACCTGACAGCGAGACGACTAGGTGGCAGGAGTGAGGGATGCAGTCGAAAGGTTGTCGACATCGGCTAGCACAAGATGGTGTTGATTTTGCAGGCGCGGAAGACGCTTTCAAGGCATAACACTCATCATGGCCATCAGCAACTTGGGCTCTCCCAGCCTCTCGCGTTCACGTGTTCGGGGTTTGTGTCGAACCAGTACTTTCTGGGCCCTTGGCACATCCCAACTTGGACGACCGTACAGTGGTACACCTTCACCATCAAACGCAGATCAAGGTCGGAAACAAACTAACTACATGCATGCCGCTAGCCCACGCGCACGAGCCCACGCGACGACGATAGAATCGGAAAACATCCAAGTTACCAGCGCGGAGAACCGAGTAGACTGAGATGCTTCGGAGGACGAGCTGCGCCAGCGCTAGCAAGCCTATCGGACGTAAGAATGCACGGCATCATCGTAACCCTCCTCTTGAGCGCCAGTGTCCTTCTGCGTCTTTCCTAACACCCTGCTTGGATACCTGGCGAGATAGGCGGCCCCTGCGGGGTGACCATAGCACCGACGCACGGCGATCATGGAAGTGCGCAACATAGATATTCTCCCCGCTCTATGCAACGGCAGAACGGGGAAGGGCTGTGGCGAACTCCGTATGCGCGAAAAGTACCGTGGTGTGGAAGTGGACGAGAGACTCGCCAGCTGGCTGTGCTTAAGCTGCCGAGTACGGGTGGACTGCACTGCAGTGTCAACAAGGACCTGTGTACTGTATGTTAGCGCTACTAGTCGAACACCATGACCAGAGCAAGGCTTACTGTAAAGTCTCTCAGAGGGTCTTAAGACGTCCAACACTGTATGGGAGATATTGTACTAGCGCATGGTGAAGACCAATGCACGGCGAAGACGGCATGTGCGTGCGTACTCGAGAAGCCTGTATCAATGGTATATGCTGTCAGACTCACGCATCACACGCTATGTACCATGGGCTGGCATTCTCCGCACACCGAGGATGGGCCACACGATTATGAAGGTCGCAAAGTAATGACACGATACAAGGACAACACCACGCGGTGAATTCATTACGGCAGCTGTCGTCACATTCGGAGGGCCATGACGAGGGACTCGAGCGTGCGCGCAGCGCGAATTAGCCCGCAGTCCGCCGTCGTAGTCGAGCCAACGGTCAACACGGCAAACGCAATACATTACTTTCGCGACAAAGACAACTATGCAGGAAGCTCGAACTTCTGTCCTTGCAAAACCCTGCACGCGGCGGCGTTAGCGCACAGCACGGAAGACACGCTCCGCAGCGAAGGACATGGACGTACTTAGTAAAGTATACGTAGAAGAAATCGAGGTAGAGCGCGGTCTGGACGATGCCCGCGGTGACGGCGATGGGGTCGACCATGTCCTCCGTGAAATACCTGCGCACGGCGCAGGAGAGCGTTTCAGTATTCGAACGCGCCCCAGTGCACGCGACACGTAGCACGTAGAATGATGACGTACCGGTAGATCCAATTCGGGATGTACAATGCCCTGTACGCGCCGAGTGCGGCCAGGTAGTGCGTGGTGATTGTCTCCGCCTCTCCGGTGCGCTGAAGCATGAAGAGCTGGGGGAGAATCGCGACGGACTCGAGGAAGATGGAAAAGGACCAGAGCAGTTCGGGGACCGTGAACCGGTAGTGGAAAAGCAGGGAGAGCACGACGCAAGGGCCGAGCAGGTACTCCACGCGGAATGTGTCTATCGAGGGGTCGTTCGTTGGCCTGCGAAAGGGGACACGCGACATGGTGGCACCAGGGTAAGATGGTTGGGGATGTGTAAGGTCTAGTTGTGATAGGCGGAAGAGCAAAATCACGCACCTGTACTTTCTCTTCATGAGGTATAGGACGTAGCAGCTGCTTGCAATGAAGAAGACCTTCATCGTGAAGTTGTAGAGGGACACCCATTCGTAGAACAGGTCAAGGTAGCGGGTGATGAACACCGCGGCGTACAACGCCTGCGTTTTGAACGAAATGCCTGTATTCGCGCGTCAGACTCCTTCCTTTCGTTTTTCTATTCCTTCCGCGCCATGAGACGTCCTGGTTTTGACATACCACG